GTCTGAGTTTTATGCAATGCGTTTTCAAATTTCAGTGTCTTCTTTCTTATCTCTTATCTTCAAGTATTCATGTATTACACTTGAAACTAACTATGATTTCTTGTGTTTTTCTTTTCTATATTGAAAATAAAAAATGCTGATAAGAATATTTTTAAGAACATATAAGATCCGCAGCTCTTCGCAAATTTTATTAACTTGTGCAGTGCATAATATAAATGTGACCAATATCGCATCCACATTGTATAGCAAAACTTTCTCCAAGCTTGTCTTTGTCATTTATTTGACTACTTCACAGCCGATATTTGCACAACAACGTGTTCTCTTTTCTACATGTGCCGAACAAAGAAGAAAAGTTCGCTTTAGTTTGCTGTCAGTCGCCGCAGAACATCATCTTTTTTTTGAAAAAATAGGTGCGGACTTATCATTGTTTCTTTTTTTATCGTCGAAAGGAGGACTGGACCCAACGAAATATCTAGTGTAAATTAATTGAAGACAAGTAAAATCATGCAAATTTTTATAAAAGATTTAGATGATAGGACGATCGTCATTACGGTAAAAGCAAAAGTTTGAAAATAACATGTTTTAGAAAATATCTATTTTAGGTCGAACAAAATGACCCTATTAGCAAAGTCAAAGAGAAGATTTTGGAGCAAAATGGAATTCCTGTAGCGGAGCAACGACTTATGTGGTCAGGAAAACAACTCATCAATGAAAGAACATTGAAAGATTACGCAATTGAAGATGGAAATACTTTGTTCCTTGTTTTACGACTAAAAGGAGGCTTAACTTTTGATTAGAAACCATTCATTTTGAATACTATTTATCGAATAAATCAGTATCTTACATCTTTCGTCTCCAGTTGTGTGGATCGGGTAGTCCGAAGTATACTGTAGTGTCAGCATTTCGATTATAATTTTTTTCCATCTCATGCTGTGTAGCTGATCTTTCTATAGAAGACTTGCCGTCAGAGAAATGGTTAACTAGTTGTAGGAGTCTGCCCGCCTAAAATCGAGTTTTTAATTATTCGAATAAGGTAGGTTCGTAAAAAAAATGGGCCTGATTTAAGGACAAAAACCGATAGGAAAGACATTCTACAGAAAGTAGAACTGATTTTTCTTATTCAAAATCTGCAAAAATTTCTCGTAGCGCTTTCCGGTATCTTGAAATATTTTCTAAACAAACGCACAACTAACGGTGAGCTGGCACCTTGTATAACACACTTTTTTATTTTTCACACGTGTGCTGAAAAAACAATCAAAAAAAGTTACAGCTGCTAAATAAGAAAAGTCAGCTCTATGGTCGGTATAATGTCTATTCGATTGTTGTAAATCGTCAGGTCATGTCATACAGTGAGCAATTTTGCATAGCAGACGGACATGTAATTTTCATGATTTGAAACGACATTAAATTGCTCGAAACTGATCATATATCATCTGGGAAATTGGATTTAGAGAAATCAACTGTTTTCGGAGAAAAAAATCTCAACTGATATCATCTGTGGGACACTTCAATCACATTTTCCGAAAAAAATATTCTGCTGGAAAATATACTTTGCAGTACATCAGCCGACACAGTTTCACACGATGATTACGGATATTGCATCACTTTTGCACTAAAATGTTATTTTAAAGAGAAAAACAGAAATTTCAGGGCAGAAAATCAGACTTTTTTTGCCCTCAATAATTGAGATTACGTTGACTGACCATATTCGACGCTAGAGCCAACGTTAGGTCTTGCGTGGAGGGACATTTGTTGAAACTTAGGTTCGATTGAGCTTTATCTGATTAAAACCTTTAAACAATCATGAATCCCAACTTTCGGAAGGTTTTTAGTATAAAAGTCAGAAATGTTTTCAAAAAACAACGCCTATTCTTATACATCGTTAGGTGCAGCACAATTATATGATTCGAGATATCACTTTGGTTTTGCGCCGGAATGCCATCATGGTTGGGTGTGGGTGTGAGTGGGGCGTAGGTGTGAACGTAGAGAAAATCATCACCCACATCCACACCCATCATCATACCAACCCAAACCACGTCCACACCTATACTCATACTCACAGCCATACTCATACCAACCCCGCCTACAACCACAGCAGAAATCTGTGGAAAATTCCGAAACCCGATTGTGACTTCGACTTCGTCGGAATTGAAGCCAAGAAAACGAAAATTTTCGGAGTCGAGCTTTCGCAAAAATTGTTCGGAGCTAAAATTATGATCACCTCTCATGAACTTTTGGTATTTCAAATAACAACAGCTTTATTCTACATCTTAACAAATAAACAAAAATGAAGGATAATAGTTGCTACATATATGTAAAACGAGTTTCGTGGTAAAGAATCTATATGGATCACCTTTTGTCTATATTATTCGAAAGATCGGCTGCATAAAAAATAATGCAATCAATGAAAACATAGTTCAATTTCATTGGAAGTACAACAATTCTCTTCATCATCAATTCTCGATTTTCTTGAGCATGGTACATGTCGAAGCTTCTCTATTAACTGTGTTTTTCTTCACTACACATTAAATGAAAAAGAAATTCAAAATTAATCTTTTAATGATTCTTTGTTTTTCTTGCACTTCTTTGTTTCTTTATCGATTAGGGATGGTACATTACTATTACTGGTAATAAGTAATAGCCTATAAGGTTATTACTTATCGTCGTTAATTAGAAATAATTTGTAAAAGTAATAAAAGTAAGAAAGTAAAACTGTTATGAAGTGATATAGTATTAAAATTAGTAAGTCATCGAAGTAATATTGTTATTAGTGTACAAACAGTAATAAAGTAATAAAAATTATTACCAATTGCCCAGTGACAATGATAAGAAATAAAACGGTAAAACATCTACTTGTGAGCACCTCTCTATAGTGAAAACCTCGTCATTATGAGCGCTTTTCACCAATCCGAAAAATCAATTTTTGCTGAAAATGAACCTCTTGAAAGCAAGCACCTTCTTATTGTGAACGGTTTTCAATAGTCCCGATCGTGCTCATTTTAGAGGGACTTGAGTATAGTAATATAGAAGCCCTATTATTGATTTGCGCGTGTTTTAAATTAAACAATAAAATATATTTGAGGTTTTTTAGAAGTTTTTTCGGAGTTTGCCGGAGTTGAAATCAGATTTAGAAAGTAAAAATTTTCCGAATCGAAGTCGTAAAGGAGAATCTTTTTGGAGTCGGGGTCGGGCTTCGAAATAAAAAACCTGATTCCGTAGGTCTCTAACTCTGAGTCATACTCATACCAACTCAACCCACATCTACACTTTCTAATTTCTGATGGATCTTGAAAACGCACAGAATCCATCGTGATAAGCCAAAAGTAACCGAGACACATAAGCGTCTAGGTATCTTGGATCTGTGTTTTCTTCGTAGTCACATTGTGAAGTGAATAGTCCCATTTTTAACTCACCAAGGAAATTCTCCAACTAGTCACGAGCTTTTGACTTCGAAGACATGCTATCTTGTAGAGCTCAGTGAGTTATCACTCCTGTAAAAAGGGCTTGTGACCATGGCCTGTTTCGGAGATGATGGACCATTTTCAATTTTACAACCTAGTATTTTCATGAGTATTCCACCACAAAAGACACAAAGTACTCAGAAAATTTTTCTTTCTATCAGACTTTGTAGAGCTATTTCCGCTGATCATTTTACTAAAAAAAATTTTAGACTCTTTAGAAATAACCATATGATGGTAAAAATACTAAACACCTACAATAGGTTAAAATGCAATTTTCATTAGTAAAAGAGCACAAAACATGCATTTTAATCTATTGTAGGTGTTTAGTATTTTGACCATAACACGATTATTTCTAAAGATAGTCTGAAAGTTTTTTTTAGCAAAATGATCAACGGAAAAAGCTCTGCAAAGTCTGAAAGAAAGAAAATTTTCTGAGTACTTTGTGTCTTTTGTGGTGGAATACTTATGAAAGTTCTAGGTTGTCAAATTGAAAATGCTCGATATTCTCACAAATTGACCATGACACAAACCCTTTTTATGATAGTGATAACTCACTGAGTTCTGTAAAATGGTACGCCTTCGAAGTCAAAAGCTTGTAACCAGTTGGAGAACTTCCCTCGTTAGTTTCTTAAAGCCGGAATGAATTTTCGCATCTATTAGCATCCGTTTCTTCTACTTTCTTCTTGATACACTTGAAATAATATATTCTACCAGTCATCAAGTTCCATCAGGACCCACTAGAATTCAGAGGATCCTCGGATCCAGTATTCACTTTATCCCCTTAGCTTAGTATTATCTTACTCGATCTACCTCATGCTAGTATACGCCTCTACACTAAAGTCGTTCCAACATCTGCCATTTTGTTATATCTTGAACAATTACGTTCGGCTTTTGGTGACAATTATCTTGCTCTAATTAGATACAGCTATGTTGCTTCGATCGAAACTTTTACCATTCAGCAAAGCATTAAATTCGAAATCAAGTAGTTCTTTTTATTGACCCTGTTTACTATCCTATTTTTGATTTATACTTTTTGTAACAATTTAAATCACGTTCTGCATCAGTACTCAATTGATATTTGTTACATAAGTTTTGAACTAAAGATGTCTTTGCAGTTTCTGTCATCGAAAATCATATGTACTTGCATAAATGTAAGCCAATTTCTCAAAAAATATTGAAATAAGGCAACGCTTGATACAACTATCATTCTTCATTTAAAAATATGACCAATTTTTGATCGTAGCATAAATTCTGTATGGAAAATTATCAAAACATTTCTAATTACAATTTCAATTAAAAAACGACGATGAATCAGATTATCAGTGGAAAATGATTTCTGGTTATTTTCATATAAAATAAACAGGCGACTAATTTTTTTTCAACAAATAAATTAAAACTATCAATAGATTTCTTGACACTCTAACGCCAAAGTTCAACGGGTAGACGGATGTGAACGATGGTCGCCTGTTCAATTATCCAGCTTTTACTCTCGCAGGAAAAACATACAACGACAGCTGATATATAAAGCGAAAAATCTTTCTAGATGAGTCCGCTATCCTGTAATTTTCCAGTAATTAGAAGACCAACGCTACAGAATAGAATGGCAAACCACACTATAACACCACATACAGTTGACAACGTGAGAACAGTATAGACACGACCTGATAAAAGTTCGGCTCGGTCTAGTTCGTTTCGTTCGATCATGAGACGAATTTGACGAGATTTAAATAATGCCCAGCATGGTCCAACGATGAAAAAGCATAGTATGGTTAGAACTAAAGCCCAACTGAAATGAGTTTTCACTATACGTGGACGAATCTTTACGGCATTTTTCGGTGGTTTCGATTCTTGCAGCGGTAATCGTTTCTGTTGTTTATGATGCTGATTAGGTTGTTGTTGAACACGTTTGACTGCAAGTTCTTTGGCAGATAGAGGTAATGGAGTATCTTGAAGTGAATTAAGACTTGGCTCAAGTTCTGTCATCGTGTTTTGGATACGTTATCGTCTGTTCTGAGTCGAAGAAATGAAAACTAAACAGAAAAACAAATCATGTATGCTACGCAACACTATATCAATAAACAGAGAAGCATTCTTTCTTCGTCAAGAAAGTGAGAATAAGTAAATAGGCGATAACGTGGAAAAAAAGAATAACGAAAACATGACTGTGTAGATCGGATGATTAGTAATTCCATCACTTAGCAAATATTGCGCTTTAAACAAATGAACTAGAATATTTCGTACAAACATGAAAATAGTCTCGTGCAATTTCTCGATTCTATTGCTATGCTTTGCAACAACCATTTTCACTTAAGATACCTCACAATCAAGCCACTTGACTTTTTGTCTCCGTTTGCGCACATTAAAAGCTTTGTTGGTAGTAGAAAAAGAAAGGAAAAGAAAACAAGAAGAGGTGACGATTGTCGTCACAACTCTTGACAAATTTATCGCTGTTCTCTACATGCTCTCTTCGGCCCGGGACGTGTATACACGAACAAATATGCTTACAAATAATCCCCTATTCACTGTTTGCTCACCACCAACTTGACAATATTATATTTCTTCTCTTTTTTTCTTCGTGTCTTTCTCGACGGCAAGTTTAAATATTGTCCATCTAAAACAGCGATAAACTGGAGTAACAGTGCTGGTGTGCCTGTATGGCGTGTGAATGGATGTAAGAATAAGATGAAGAGAAAATCTTCCTCACCTACTCACCCATCTATTGACGCCCTCACCACACAGTCACATCCATACACTTGCAATGACTTCGAAATGCATACCTGCATATCTACCGACGCCCCCCCCCCGCTCCGCATCCCAAAAGCTTCTAAATAAAAATACAGATTGATATTTCAATTTTTAAGAAATTGTATTTTGGGATGTCATCGTTTCATATGATGGTGATATAAAGAATAACAAAAACGATCAGAATATTAAATTGCATTCAGGTAACCGTTATTTGATTCATACGAGCTCAAATTTTATTCTCAAACGAATGTTTTGGACAAAAATAAGATATTAGTGTTTGGTATGTGTATTTACTCTTCATCATATATTAAGTTAATAAAGTGGAGGTTCGAAAGTTTGACTGAGAAATATTACATTCTCGTAAGTTGGAAATTAATTAGAAAGTGAAACGAATTCACGTAATCATAAATAACAGAGACAAAGAAAAATTAATAGTCGTCTATCATATCGAACTTCGTATTTGTAAATTTCTTCGTCGGCTTAGATCAAGTAAAGTAAGAAGTCACAACAGTAATTTAGTTAAAAAAAATAGAAAAGTTTAGAAGTTCCACTATATTACTTAGGGGTACCCAAAAGTAGTGGCGGTCGCATCTCAATTTCGTATAGAAGGCTTGATGAAATTTTCTGTTTTTATGAGACGATAGAGAAAATGAAGCTCTATTTTTCTGTGCT